ATCAAATGTGCAACAGCAGTAAAAAAGCTAATACTGTAAGGAACCATTATGAACGAGATGGTAAAAATACCATAATCCTACTACAGAAATCCACACTTTGAATACTTCTGGCAGTCCCTGGTCACTCCACCTCAAAATGATAGACTTGGAAAAGGTACAAAGAGAGGCAACAAAAATTATTTGGGGGATAAAACAGCTTCCATATGCGGAGAGATCATAATACTGATTGTTCAGCTTAGGCGCAACAATGGGGGAGAGGTCTATACTATCACACAGGATGTTGAGAAAGGGGAGTGTTATTTACCCCTTCCCAGAACACACAGATCAAGGGTCACCCGATGACATTAAGAGGCTGCAGGTGTAAGACAGACACAAAGCAGTGCTTTTTCCTCCACACAGCCTGTAGCACTCACTGCCAGGAAGGTTATGGAGGCCAAAACTGGTTCTAAAAAGCAAGACACGTTTATGGCATTCAGATCCAGCAATGGCTATTAGCCAAGACGGCAAGAGATACAACCCCATGGTCTGCGTGTCCCGCAGACTGCTAGCTCTAGTCTAACTCCCCTTATTTCGAAATAACAGGCAGAGTGTCCACACTACCAAGCCTGTTATTTCAAAATAAGAACTGCTTTCTGTGAGGAATATTGCTTATTTCAAAATAGCAGTAATGTGGATGCTCCACTGCTGCTATTTCGAAATAACTACTCCACAGAGTCATTCAAAGTAATTACTCCCCAGTGCTTCCGCTGGCTTGTAGTTCGTGCGCATTAAGGGAGTCTGCCTCGGACTAATTTCGAGGCTTCCCTGTAGTGTGGACATGTTATTTCAAAATAGTTATTTTGGGAGTTATATATATAGTAGCCCAATGTCTGTGACTCTGTAACGCTGAAATGCTGGCTGTTCCCTCTGGGCACAGCTGTTGCCTGACTCACATCCTTGGCCTCCCACCGTGGCACTCGGCTGACTTCTGCGCCACTCAGCCGGGCCGCCACAGGGGAGCAAGCGGGGCAAGTGGCTGTTTGGGCACCATGGTCCCCATGCAGCGGGCTTAAACTGCAGCAAGGGAAGTTTAGGTTGGACATTAGGAAAAAGTTCCTAACTGTCAGGGTGGTCAAACACTGGAATAAATTGCCTACGAGGGTTGTGGAATCTCCATCTCTAGAGATATTTAAGAGTAGGTTAGATAAATGTCTATCAGGGATGGTCTAGACAAGTGTTTCCCAACCGGGGTTCCACAGACCATCATCAGGGGTTCTTTTAGAAATCATGGAATAAATAACACTGGGTGGGGCCTGAAGTGTTGCGCCCCCCCTTCCCCTCCCGTCATGGCACTCAGCTGACTTCTGTGCCACTCAGCCGGGCCGCCGCGGGGGAGCCCAAACGGCTGCTTGCTGCCTGGACCCCGCATTCCTCATGCAGCACAGTCTGCCCAGAGGGAACAGCCAGCATTTCAGCATTACAGACTCTCAGACATTGGGCTACTATATATATATGATAAGGAAATTATCTACCAACACAGTGGCACTCCTTTGCCTCCCACAGTGGGACTCGGCTGACTTATGCGCAGCTCAGCGGGACCGCTGCATGGTAGCAAGTGGCACAAGCGATCGTTTGGGCTCCGCGCTCCCCTGAGTGAGAGGCAGAAAGGGGAGGAGAAGAGAAAGAGAGAGTCAGAGAGAGGCAGGAGGCGGAGGAGAGCTGAGAGAGGGGGGAGGGAGGCGGCACTCCTTTGCCTCCCACAGTGGGACTCGGCTGACTTATGCGCAGCTCAGCGGGACCGCTGCATGGTAGCAAGTGGCACAAGCGATCGTTTGGGCTCCGCGCTCCCCTGAGTGAGAGGCAGAAAGGGGAGGAGAAGAGAAAGAGAGAGTCAGAGAGAGGCAGGAGGCGGAGGAGAGCTGAGAGAGGGGGGAGGGAGGCAGTAGGAGAAGGAGAGAGAGAGAGAGACATGGAGCGAGAGACCGGAGGCTCAGGAGCGAAGACCGCCCTGGAGGAGAGACCTGAAAATCCCATTTTATGACAGGCTAATTGGCTAGTTTTTAAATATTTTCCTAGTGTAGACATGTCCCTAGTGGCTGGGGCTGGGTTATAGGGGATGGGATCACTTGATAAATTTCCCTTGTGTTCATTTTCTGAAGCATCTTGCAGGATACGGGGTTGGGTTCATCACCCAGCATGGCTGATGAAAGTCTCTTGGTTTGCAAGCGTTGTGATCAGCTAGTCAGACAAGGGTTTTAATGACGTCAACATGGACCTGACTGAAGTTTGTGAAAGTCAGGGTTTTCACTGTCCCCATTCACCTGCAGAACATTTAAACCTCTTGTAAAGTGGCCATAGGACAGAAGGTGACGTGGGGTCAAGGGCAGCTCAGCCTTTGCTCTGTCCTGGGGAAGGGACAAAATGCAGGACTATGTAGCACTTTAAAGACTAACAAGATGGTTTATTAGATGATGAGCTTTCGTGGGCCAGACCCACTTCCTCAGATCAAATAGTGGAAGAAAAGCTCATCATCTAATAAACCATCTTGTTAGTCTTTAAAGTGCTACACAGTCCTGTATTTTGTTTCAGCTACGCCAGACTAACACGGCTACATTTCTATCACTGGGGAAGGGAGACATGCCCCAGCACCCAAATGGTCCCAGAGACTCACCCAGGACCCTGGGGATAGAGTTGGGTGCATAAGGATTTTTTTTAAAGCGTGTGGAAACTCCAAGCTCAGCACACGCGTTTGTTTCAGCTTGAACCAAACCCAACATTTCTCAAGGCTAGAAAAGCCAGGATCAGATGGAAGTGCTGCCTTTTGACACAAGTCAGAGTTTGTGGCATTCACTCAGAGGCCAGCAGACTGCCTCTCAGAACAGCTTGGGTGAGAGGTGCCTGCAAGGGCCTCCCTCCTTAGCCTGAGCCCTGGCACACTCATTTTCCCCCCCTTCCCCTGGCCTGTTGAAGCTGGTCCCCTTTGGGTAAAATGCTTCAGTGACTGAGGAGAGACTGGATGTGCTGCCAGCCACACCCGGGCAGGTGCCATAAGCCACCAGGCTATAGGTCAGATGGCAGGTCCTCGCTCCCCTGCTATGCCCGGGCATTTGGCAAATCTAGTTCTGCCTGGACGTGGAGACAATGCAGAATCACAGCAGGTGACAAACCAGGTCTGAGTGAAGCACTTCTAGTTGGTGTCAGGACACTGATTCTACACTTTCAGGGAGGCCAAAGCTGGCAGGGAACTCAGCACCATTGGCCAATGGTTTTGGGTCGGCCAACCTGCAATTGCTCAGCAAGTCAGCTGTTGGCTGAAGAGACATATCCCAGCTTTACCAATGTGTCTGGGTGTCCGAGCCAATGGGACTCCAGCCCCACGGGCATCTCTGGACCCCCACAGAGCTCCCCAGGTAGAGCCCAGTCCCAATGCAGTTTCCACCCAAATGGGACACAGAAGTCCCAGTTCCACCCCGCCCCCCCTGCCATAGTGGAACCCAAGAGTCCTAGCAACATCCCCACCCCAGAAACCCAGCAGTCCTCACCTCCTCCCCCAGCCTGAGCCCCACTTCCCCAGCCCAAGGCACGAGGCCCAAAAACCCTGAGCCCTGCCCCAAGTCCTTCTCCCCACCAGAACAGAGGCCTGGAGTCTTCCCCTATCCCCAGCCACATTCCAAAAGGAGGTGAGGGTGAGGGGCCCTCCCCAGCTCCTGTTCCCCAAAGGGTTCTGGGGCTGCAATCCTAGATATGCCAATACCCACTGCTCAGGAGGGGGTCTTGCAGCACCCCTATGCGTGGTTCCTGGCCCAGCCCCACAGGGGGACAGCCAAACCCGCCCTCTGGCAGACACGTCACTGGACAGAAGAGGCTTTTACAGCTGGTCTCTGCCCACCCCTGCCAGGTTCCTTACTCAGCTCCAGTGAAGACCCCCTCCCCCCGCAGCTGCGAGAGCTCCCATTTCTAGGGCATGCAGGGATCCCCCAATCCAGCGCACCAATCTGCGCTCCCCCCGCTCTGTTCACACCCCTTACTCTTGGGCCACAGTTCCCACATAAGCCCCACACAAAGCACACCTGCAGCCCCCTGCTTGCCCCACACACACAGCTCCTCCAGGCCCCTCCCTCCTGACCCACAGCCCCCTCCCCCCACTAGCCCAGTGCTCAGCCCAATTGAGGCATCTGCTGTTGCTTACCCAGCTAATCTGTATTCTACCCAACAGCCTCCGCTGCTGCCTTTGTCTCCTGCTCCAGCCAGGTGTGACGGAGACACGGGCTGGGCGCCCCTCCCCCACCGAGAGGGAGAGCAAGTGAAGGAAATTAATTAACAGGGCTGCCCCACTAGCCCTGGGTCAGAGACCACCACACAGCCCCCCCCCCCCCAGCCCCCACAGGCCAGGGCAAAGCCGC